CGCCGCACGTTGTGTTGATCCTCGTGGCTTCCCCCGGATTCGAGGATTTTGTGCTGATTGATGGAGCGTAGTTCCCCAAAAGCGATGGCGCCGAGTTGAGACTTTCCGATTGTAAAGTTCTGCAAGAGCTGGCCGAGCGTGTCGGGCGTGCATGCCGTGGGGGTGGCCTGAGCGTAGCATCCAAAGCTCGGGTAGTCATGGTTCTCGGGCCTCCAAGCAGCGGGTCGGATCATGTTCTCATGGCACATGCGGCGCACTCGATCCGGGGTGGTGCCGTGCACATACATGACAGCGTGATGGGAGGCCGTGCCGGATCCAGCTTCCGGGTCTCCGCCAGCAACTGGCCAAGGATGAGGTCGGGGAAACCAAGTGGTTGCGAACACCATGCCGTGTGATTCCCGTCCCAAGAGGTGGTAGAAGCTGGGATCGAACGGTATGGGATCATCCGTGTCCATGGTTCGCAGTTCCCAGCATTCCGCGAGGAGATCGGCATGTGAAGGTGGCAAAGCAGGGTCCAGGTCCATCAAAATGGCCTTAGTCTGTTCCACCCTGGAGATGTCCAAGGCTGGAAGCGGGTCCAGCTCCCCCAACTCCCTAGGCGTGGGAACTCGCAGCGGGTCAGTCTTGGCCGTGTCCATGACGTTTCTCCATAGATCAAGCCACCGGTTGTCGGAAGTGGTGGTGGCATTGATGTCCGCCTCCGATGGAGGGGGATCCAAATCACCGGTGTTGTCGAAGGGGGGTTGGGGAGGGTGAGGAGTAGCCGGCGTGGGTCGGGGAGGGGGAGGGGGAGTGGAAGTGAAGGCCGCCGCAGGTGCTGGGTGAGGGGGCAAGCTAGTGTTGTGGTGGCCGGTGCGGGAAGTGGGGTGGGGTTGCTGCCCATGGTGCTGCAGTGACCAGGACGATCGTTTGTCCTGGTTGTTTCGGTGGCCGGTGTGGCTGGCGCCATGGTGGTGCATGTCCCAGCGGTTTTTGTTCTGTGGTGGGTATCCCCACGATTGGTTCCGCCAGTGTGAGGAGGACCATTGAGACTTGTTGGAATCCTTCCCGGAAGTGCGCCAGGAGTCCTTCCCGGAAGTGCGCCAGGAGGTGGAATCATGAGTAGTGTGAGTGGGTCGGTGCGAAGTCGTGGCTCTGGGTGCAGGGGAGTGTCGATGGTGGGACCTGTGTCGGGGGGAGCGGGAGCGGAGGGAGACAGTGGAGTGGTGTGCACGTCGGGAGTGGTGGAGTGTCGGGAAAGGGAACGTGACCTGCTGTAGCTGCGGGATCGTCGGGTGTCGTGTCGTCGGTGCGACTTGTTGTGCCTGCGATGGTGGCTGGTGTGGGAGTGGGAGTGTCGGTGCTGTCTGTGGCGGGAACGGGATCTGCGAGAGTGGGGATGGTGCCGAGTGTCCGGGGGAGGGTGGTTGGTTGAGGAGGTAGCGGCAGGAGCCGCAGCGGCAGCTTCGGGCGCGCGCGCCGGCTGAGGCTCGGGCAGTGAAGATGGCATGCTGCTCTGAGTCATGAAAGGCATGATGGTGCCAGGTGCCAAGCTGCCGTAATTGGGAGGGCCACCGTAGGGCATCATGGCCATCGGGTTGCCAAAGTTCGAGGGGCCGCCGTTGTTCGAGAGGCCGCCGTAGGGCATCATGGGGAAAGGTGTGAAGGATGCCGTCTGCGAGTTGGGTGACGGTACAAGGTTCATGGGCTGCGTCATCTGGGATGACAGCTGCAAGTTCGGTCCACAATTGCCTGGCGAGCCGGACGCGGCGCCGGTCGCAATGCTGTGCAGGAGCGAATGCATCATGTCATAGAGCTGGTGTCCAGCCATCTCGCAAGGGAGAGAGAAGGTTGGAAAGGGGTGAAACAAAACCACAACTGCGGCAAAAATGCGTCAATGGTGCAAATGCAGCAAAAATGCGTCAATGGTGCAAATGCATGCGAGCACAAAGGGGTTCTCAGAGGTGCCTGTCAAGTGGCCTCATGAAAGTGCCTCATGTGGCTATGCCGATGAATCTGAACTGAACTCATCCGAGACGAAAGCTTCCATAAACACCACGAATTGCAGAGTTGGTGTATGACCAACTCGTCACTGGCGCATGAAGCTTAGGAACCTGAAACCTCGTGGGTGCAGCCTTGCATCAAAGGCAGGCAGTGCAGGCAGTGCAACGCGCATGAAACCAGCGGAGCACCATTTGGGTGCGGAATACCTTAAGACCTCAAGCTGCAGCCTTGATCGTGGTCAAACGCGCTGAACTGCAGCTTGAATTTGAACACTTGAACGGTCTTCCCCTCGCAGGGGGCTCCCGCATGTGGCGAGTCCAGCCCACAGCGCCATGTCGGACAGGCCGTGGGTAAACACACTTATCTCGAGAGGCTTCACTAGCCGAGATGCAAAGGTTGGAAAAACCTGCAACTGCTGAAATTGCTTGACAGATCACAATGCAGAACAGAAACCGGGAAGCAACAGCGAACAGGACAGAGAAACAGTCAGGAAAAAGAAGGAAAGGCAGGTACGTCC